TGTTGGATGCCCCCTGGTTCGCGACAGCGCGGCTTTTCCCAGGGGGTTGCGCTTTCTCCCACATGGGGCTGGCCCCGGCTATGCTCCGCTCCTGCACGGGTTTTTGCGAAGGGCTGGCGTGTTTCTAGGAGGGACCCTTGTTTGCTCGCCCCTTGCACACAATTTGCCCAGGGCTGCCTCGTTTCTAGGTTCGTTCCTAGGCACAACCTGGGCTTCCCCTCCCCCTCCGCCTCCCCACTCCTCCTCCTCTTTCCATGTTCGCCTATCCCGGCTACCCAGCCTTTTGCCTTGTCCGTTCTTGTATACGTTTCTTCATGCTCTTTCGCACAGGGCCGGCTTGTTTCGAGGAGGAGCCGTCGTTCCTTCATGTTTTGCTGGATGCTCCCTGGTTCGTGACAGTGCGGCTTCTCCCAAAGGCTTGCGTTTTTTGCCACATGGGGCTGGCCCTGTCCATGCTCGGCCCCTGCATGGAGTATTGCGAATGGCTGGCGTGCTTCTGGGGGGAAGCTTGGTATGCGTGCCCCCATACACTCACACTTTGCCCAGAGCTGGCTCGATTCTAGGCACAACCTGGGCTTCCCCTCCCCCTCCCGTCTCCTCCTCCTTCCATGTTCGCCCATCCCGGCTACAAAGCCTTTTGCTTGTCCGTTTTTTTTTACGTTTCTTCATGCTCCTTCGCACAGGGCGGGCTTGTTTCTAGGAGGAACCGTCGTTCCCCATATGTTTTGTTGGATGCCCCCTGGTTCGCGACAGCGCGGCTTCTCCCAGCGTTTTCTGCCAGATGGGGCTGGCCCTGTTCATGCTCCCCCCTGCAAGGAGTATTGCGAATGGCTGGCGTGTTTCCAGGAGGAGCCCTGGTGTGCTCGCCCCCTGCGTACACAGTTTGCCGAGGGCTGGCTCGTTTCTAGGCACAACCTGGGCCTCCCCTCCCCCTCCCCTCTCCTCCTCTTTCCATGTTCGCCCATCCCGGCTACCCAGCCTTTTGCTTGTCCGTTTTTTGTTTACGTTTCTTCATGCTCCTTCGCACAGGGCGGGTTTGTTTCTAGGAGGAACCGTCGTTCCCCACATGTTTTGCTGGATGCCCCCCCCTGGTTCGTGACAGCGCGGTTTTTTCCAGAGGCTTGCGCTTTCCCCAACGTGGGGCTGGCCGTGGCCATGCTCGGCCCCTTGCATGGATTTTTGCGAAGGGCTGGCGTGTTTCCAGGAGGAACCCTGGTATGGTGACCCCCAGCATTCACAATTTGCCCAGAGCTGATTCGCGTCCAAGCTCAATTTGGGCTTCCCCTACCTTTCCCCTCTCCTGCTTTCTCCCACATGGGGTTGGCCCTGGCCATGCTCGCCCCCCGCGTGGACTTTTGCGAAGGGCTGGCGTGTTTCTAGGAGGAACCCTTGTATGCTTCTCCCTGCATACACGGTTAGGGGCCCTTTTGGGAGTACTCTTGGAGCATTCTTGGGCCGTCTTGGATGCGTTTTGGGCCGTCCGGAGGCCATCTTCGGCGTCTTCGAGCGATCTTTTGGCGACTCTGCGCCCTCTTGGGCCCATTTTGGATCATCGTGAACCTGACTTGCCGAATGAGGGCCACATTTGTTCAAAGATGACCCGAAAATGGAAAGGGGTGAACGGTATTCTGACCCGGGACCCCCCCAGGGACTCCCTCCGGGACCTCCCCAGGACCCCCCCTGGGTGGGGAAGGGATCAAAGGGAAGGGGTTTCCTTTCGACTCAATGACGACTTCGATTACGACTTCGGTCGATTCACTTCGAATTGACGAGCTTTCGCGCCAAAGAGGGTCTCGAGAGAGGCTCCGGGAATGGAAGAGCAAATCGAATGAAGGAGCATATTTTACAGCCACCCGTGGACGACGGACACAAAACTCCCCCTCACACACGCAGACGGGGTTGGCGGATTATGATGACGATGCTGCTGCTGCTGCTGTTGAAGACGACGGTGACGATGGTGGTGACGACGACGACGACGGAGAATATGATGATGATGATGATGATGATGATGATGGTGATGACGATGATGATGATGATGATGACGTTGATGATGATGGTGAATATCAGATGGTGGTCCCAACGATGATGACGATGATGATGACGGCGATACTGGTGATGATGCCGGCGATGATGACGGCGATGATGATGATACCGATTATGTTGATGATGATGATGAGAATGCGAATGATTATGCTGACGATAATGATGATGATGATGATGACGGCGATACTGGTGATGATGCCGATGATGATGACGGCGATGATGATGATGATGATGGCGTCTATGATGATGATGATGATGATGATGATGATGATAATGCGAATGATTATGCTGACGATGATGATGATGGTGATGATGGTGATGATAATGATGATGATGATGATGATGATGATGATGATGATGATGATGATGATGATGATGATGATGATGATGATGATGATGATGATGATAGTGGTGGCGGTGGTGGTGATGACGACGACGACGAGGACGAGGAGTTGATCAGGAGGTGTGCGAGGACGCGCGCACATAGTCACGATGCGATGAGGGGCGCGATGTGCATGATGACGATGAGGAGGCGAAACTGGAGGAGGATGTCGAGAAGGGGGAGGCGGAGGAGCACGAGGAGCAGAAGCAGGACCATGACGACGAGCACGACCGAGGGGGGGATGGAGGGCGGACGAGGGAAGCAAGAAAAAGGGGAGGCTGAAGAAGGAAGACGAAACGGGAGCGTGAAGGAAGGCTGGAAGTTTGGCACGCCGCCATCCCTTTTCTAGAGAGTGCGAGGTCGTGCATTCAATCTGCATTGGATCTGACGGGTGCGTACCACATGATACATGGAGGTAAGCTTCGAACGCGTCGAGTTTGATTCGCAATTCTTGAGGATTTACGTATCCCCACCAGCCCATCCAGAGACGACGCCCAGGCGAGTTGACGTGATCAGGGAAGTGAGAGATCTTGCAGAGGAGCACAGGGCCGGAGAAACCGCCGTACCCCAAGAGGGGGAGGAAGGAGGAGGAGGAGTGGATGAGGAGGAGGCTGAGGATGAGGGTGAGGAGGACGAAGGAGGAAGAGAACGTGGAGCAGGACGAGGAGGAGGATGAGGAGGAGGAGGAGGAGGTGGAGGTGGAGGAGAGGGAGGGGGGAGGCGGGAGGACGAGGAATAAGCGGATGATGATGGTGATGAGGAGGAGGAGGAGGAGGAGGAGAAGGAGGAGGAGGAGGAGGCGAGAAGGAGGAGCAGGAGGAGGACGAGGAGGAGGACGAGGAGGAGGAGGAGGAGGAGGAGGTGGAGGAGAGGAGGGGAGGGAGGGGGGGGGACGAGGAATAAGCGGATGATGATGATGATGATGATGATGCTGATGATGATGATGATGATGATGGTGATGATGATGATGATGGTGATGATGATGATGAATGTTGTGATGATGATGATGATGATGATGATGATGAGAGGAAGAGGAAGAGGAGAGGAAGAGGAGGAGGAGGAGGAGGAGGAGGAGGAGGAGGAGAAGGGGAGCAGGAGGAGGAGGAGGAGGCGGAGGAGGAGGAGGAAAGGGGCGACCAGCAAAGCCAGAAGCCTCGTGACTGCCTCTCGGAGTCTCTTCGGATGTCTCTTGGAAGCCTTTTGAAGGCCTCTTGAGGCGTCTGGGGGGCCTCTTGGCGGGCTCAGGGGCGTCTTTGCGCGTCTTTGGTACCTTGGGGAGCCTCGTGGGGCCTCTTGGGGGTCTTTTGGGAGCCTCTTAGAGGCCTTTGGAGCGCCTCTTGGGGTCTCCTGGGCGCCTCTTGGGGCCCTCTTGGGGCGCTTTTGGGAGCCTTGGGGGCGCAAATCTCGCCCCTCCCCGGGAGCACAAAAAACCGTCTCCTGGAATCTTCTTGGAGCGCTCTTGGGGCGCTCCTGGGCGCTCTTGGGGCCGTCTTGGGGCTCTCTTGGGCCACTCTTGGGGCCCTCCTCGGTCATCTGGGAGCCATCTTGGCTTCGGATGGCCTTCGGAAGCGAAAAGGCGAAACGGCGAATGGCCTGCGCCATTCCGAATTAGATGATTAGATGATTATTCAGAATTAGATGATTATTCATGTGGCGTGCGCCAGGCATACAAGGTGGACCCCGAGGGGCCCATTCCACGTCTCACCGGTCACGAAGGCGCGTTAACGCCATGGGTTCCTCACCATTCCAACCTTCACGCGTAACGAGCGTGAGGCTGGGCCGTGATAGTAAAACCTAGGCCTGCGCGTTTTCACTTGCCGACATCCTTATTCGGGTGCTTCGCTAGGGTAGTATTTCTGCGAGGCAGCGGCTATAAAGAACGCGGGCGTGGCTGGCAGGATTCTTGCCCACGGGTGACCGATCCATCTCAGCAGCCTGTGGCTCAAGCGCCGTCTGACCTTGCCTGGTTCGTACGGCCGGCCTGCTATCGGTTCCATGGCATGTATCAGCACATCGGCTTCGGCCGCTCTCCAGGAGGCTCTGTATGAGAGCGGGTGCGACCTTCTGCTGCCTCCCGACTCCACTTCTGCTTTGCGGGATCGTCTCCGCGACCGCGGAATGGAGGCGTTCCCGCATGTCATTGCAAGTTTACGAAGGCTCTGCCCCGCATGCGGTGCCCATCTGACGCAGCAGGACATTTGTGGGCGTGGCAGTCCGGGCGCGCTGTGTTATGTGGTCGCTGAAAGCTCCCCCTTCCGCGCCTACCACGTGCCACGGTGGTGCGACATATGTGCTCGCACCAACAAGTCACGGGGAATTACATATTGGTGCGGCTTCAAGATGGTACCCACGTCGGGCTCCCGGGGAAAGTACAAGAAGGTCTTCGACGACGAGCACGTTCACCCGGACATATGGCTAGTAAACAAGATTGGCTCAAGGCCACCCCGGCTCAGGCCACCGAAGGCCCCCGACCAGGAGCCCTGCCAAGGGTGGGGTGCCGTCCTAGTGCTTCTCTACACCACCCCCCGTGCCACGGGACCTCCCTTTCGTACACATCCTATCTCTCCTCAGCAGCATGCCGCCATGCCGGATGTGCTTGCAGCATGGGGTGGACGGCGTGGCGGTCCCTGGCTCGGACTTCTGCGCCGCGCACAGCGCCGCCAGGCCGGAGACGAGCGTCGGCTTCGACAGGGTTGGCCACACCGGCGACGCCGACGGGACGGGCCTCACCCAGGCCGCCGGCGAGCTGCATTTGGTTGGCGCCCCCGCGCCGCCTGGCCTTGCTCCGCCAGCAGCCGATGGAGCGCCGGGCGTGGCGCCAGCGGCCGCAGGCGCCCCGGCGGTTGCAGGTCCACCGCAGCAGCCCCTGCCCGCAGCTGCCCTTGCAGATCGGCACCTCGCGCTCTCGGGCCAGCTGTTTCAGAACTGGCTCGAGCAGGAGGTCCTTGCACACTTCGACTTGGCGCAGGCTGCTTCGACCAGTGCGCCAGACACGGCTGGTGTTACCGTGGAGTACCCCACGTGTTGGTCAGCGTTACACGGCGTCTTGACCAAGTTGGGCTATGCGTCGGACTCCTCTGACCCCTGGAAGGCGCTCGGCTTCGCGCTGTACGAGGGCCCAGCGCCCTCGGCGCAATCGCTCGCGGCTCGGGAGCGGACGGCGGTGCAGCTTTGTGCAGTCGGACAGAAGGATGGCTGGACGCCGCAGGACAAGGACAGGGCAGCGATGGCTGCACGGCACTTCCAGGCGGCTGCAGCCGCTTGCGCCGCGGAGCTGCCGGAGGTGATCAAGCAACGACGCCGCTTACGGGTTGGCACGCTCCCGCTCTGGAAGGAGCTGGGGCACGATGCACTCGATTTACTCCGGCCTGCCAGCGGAGGCCCAGACGTATGGTTCTTGACGCAGTGGTCTTCTATTCTTACGCGGGCTCAGCCGAGCCCCTGGGACATGGAGGCCACGCGCAAGTTGGCCACGCTCCTGGAGAAAGGCGATGAGCAAGTCTGGGAGCTCCTGGGGAACCAGCACATTGTGGCCTGGTTTCCGGAGGATGGGAATGCCGCAACTCGTTGCCGAGCAGCGCTCCTCCGCCGCGTGCCCACGGGAGCTCAACCAGCCTCGCTGCGATTCGTGGTGCCGCTTCCGCTCTTCCCAGGCGCTCACGACGTCCCGGCCATCCTGGACAATTGGTGGTGCCCTTTGTTAGGCGAAAGATGGGCACCTCTAGTGCGCAAGGTGGAGTTCACCGACGTGCCACTGGAAATGGTTCTTCCTGGTCCGACGTCCCCGAGGCACGCCAAGATGGGCCTCGCGCTATTCACCATCGCTTTCGCGGGTCCCCGGGTCCCCCCAGCGATGCTCAGTTGCAGGCCGCCGTTGCTCCAGATCGAGGGCGTTGTTCCCATGACCTTCGACATGCGCACTGAGGACGTCGTGAGCTTCGCGACGCTGATGCGCCACCCGCTGATGCAAGGAGCTATCTGGCGCAACCCTCGGCGCAGCCTTGCACACACGCTGGAAGTCCCCCGGGTCTGCATCGATGTGCTCTTCCCCCGGGAGTACGTGGAGTTGGACCAGGGTTTGCTCTTGCAGCAGCTGCGTCCGCGCCTTCCGTCATCCACCTATTTCGGCCCCCAGTCGCTGTGCACCGCTTCCGACGCCATGATCCTCGAGATCAACAGCACGATGGGGCTGCCGCACGTTTGGCCGCTTTGCTCACAGCTACTGGTCCTCAGCCCGGGCCGCGCGTTGGTCCTTTCCGGGGCCAGTGGGGAGACGTGGATCACCGTGCTGGACCAGCTCCTCGCGCAGGACCCTGGGGCCGCAGCTACTTGCTTGCGGTGGAAGCCTTCGCGGGGCGGCCGCCCAGTGGCCACGCCCTCTGCGACGACAGCGGCTTTGGCCGCCACGCGCAAAAAGGCCAACGGGAAGCCGGCGGCGCTAGACCCCCTCACCGAGGTCATCGTTCGAGGGGAAGTTGGGCAGGAAGATGGCGAGGTCATGCGGCTGCTCATGTCCCACGTCGCGACGTCCACAGGCATCGCCCTGACGGAAAGGACAGCGACGAAGCCCTTGAAGCACGGCGAGTTTGAGCACGTGCCAGTTGAACAGCACGGTGGTACTGGCGGGCGTGTCAGGGTCCTCCTCAAGGACGCCCAGGAGGTGGAGAAGCTCAGAGCTGCGCTGCATGGACAGCACATTGCCGTCGGCCACACCAGGGTCGGGATCGAGGTCATCAACGAGCGCTTTGACCTGGACACGGGGGCGGGAAACGGGGTTCGGAGGCGGGCGTAGTGCCGGCCCGCCTCCGCTCGGACAGGCACGCCGGCGGCTCAATGCCGCCAGTCGGAATTCAAGTTTTTGAGTGCACGGGCTTGTGCGGCTTCCTCGTGTTCGTCGTCATGCGGCTCCTCCCCGCCGAGGCGGGGCCGGGCCGTGCTGGCCGCGCTTCCTCGGGATCCGCACGGAGCCACCCTTTTTCGCCATCGCCAAGCACGAACTTATGTACCCCTCCTTCGTCGGCACCTGCGGTTGATAGTGGCGGGCGCCTTCGACCTCCCATTCCCCCTTTTGTCTTCCCGGAGGGCGCGGTGCTGCCGAGCTGCGTCGAGTCTGCCGCACTCCGCGCTGATGTTCCTGTGGATTGCTACCGGCATGGTCGACTTCGCCGAGCCCTGGGCGCGCCCCTCCCAGCCCCCCTCCAGCGCGGCCGCATTTCGACCCCTGCGCCTCATGCGACGTCCCCGGACCGCCGCCTTGGACAATACCGATGGGACGTAGCGGTTGGCACCTGGAACGCCCAGGCCCTCTTCGCGGCATGCGACCACAGGAGGGGCCAGAAGATGCTCTACGTCCAGCAGCTCATGAGGAAGCTGGACGTCCTATTGGTGACGGAGGCCCACGGCACGGCTGGGGATCATGCTCTGTGCCGCACCCTGCCTGGGTGCACGAGTTGGTGGTCTCCTGGGCCCACTACTGGGCACGCAGGCGTCGGCGTAGTAGTTCGGAATGCTTTCCTGGAGCAGTTTGATGCGTCGCCGGTCTGGTCGGTCGTCTGGAAGGGCTGGGCGGCCAAGCTTTCCCTCCGGGGGAAAGCGGGGGCTTTCGACGTGGTAGTCGCCTACTTCCACACAGGGGCCCAGATCACAGAGATGGACCTCTACGACGTCCGGCCTCAGGAGCGGGACCGCTGCTCGAATTTCGCCGGCTTACGGGCATGCCTCCGGACGCGGCTCGCGAACTCCTTATCGCCTTCCAGGAACGCCTTGACCGTCCTTGGAGGGGACTTCAACTACGTTGCAGAGCAGGGCGGCCGACAGGCCTTAACCTCGCTGCGAGGGACGGGCGGGCGCGATCAGGGCGAGGAGCGGCACTTCCAATCGATCCTCGGGCTCCCGTTTCAATTGACGGAGATGGTTCAAGGAGCTTTCACTCATGCATCTGCCCGCGCCCGGTCACGCATTGACAGGATCTACCTGAGCCAGCACGCGGTGGAGCAGCTCGACCGGCACATGACGTGCTGCGCACTCCCCTGGCGGGAAGACCTTTTCTGCGCACCGTGCGGTGCTTTTCTCCAGGCGGGCCCCACAACGGCTCCCTATGCACCTGCGGCCCATTCCGGACCGCGCGATTCGCCATGAGGACTTCGAGCGGCGAGTGCGCTTGGAGTTCGGCCAGCGCCTGCGCGACCACCCGGAGGATTGGGGCGTGCAGAAGCTTGGTCACCTGAAGGCGGCTTTACGGCAGGCGGGGCTCAACTTGGAAGGGGAGTGGGCGGGCGTCCCGGAGGCGACGACATTGGAGGACCGCCTCGGCGTCGCCCTCTGCTTCATCCGGGCGTTCGAGCGCGGCTTCGCGACCGATGTCTCTTCGTGCCTCCTCCGCTACCCCAAGATCCGGGATCTGGTTGACAATCCCTATGCGTTCGAGGGCAACGTTTCGGTCAAGCTCCAGCGGCTGAGGGATCACGCCATGGAGTTGGCGCGCGACCACGCGCTGGATGAGTTGGGCAAGTCCCATGCCGACCTCACTGGTACCGACGTTTTTACAGCAGCCAAAGCGCGTGCCAAGAATAACAGGCTCATCTTTCGACTCCGGCCAGGACGTGTCTCGGCGGTGGACTGCATCCTCGACGAGCACGGCGAGGCAAGGACGACGCCGGAGGAGATGGCAGCGACTCTGCGCACGCATTGGGGGATAGTATTTCAGCGCCGTGGGGTCGACGATGACATGCTGGCTGAGTGGCTCGACCAGGATTCCGACCACCGCCCGCTGGATCAGCTCGGGCCGTTCCCTCCCCGCAGTTTCCGCCTGAAGAAAAAGCACATCCGAGAGGCCATCCGCAGATCGTCCTGCTCCTCTCCAGGGCCGGACGGACTTTCTTTCTTGGCCTGGAGGCGCATTGAGTCGCTGGCCGTGGAGGTCCTGCATGAGGTCTTCGGCGACATCTGCAGCGAGGACGGTTTGCAACGGCTCCACGCATTCGCGGAGGACTTCAACCACAGTCTGTTATTCTTCATCCCGAAGGGCCCGCCCGAGAGATTGGGATCGGCTGAAATGGGCCACGCGGTGGACAAGGTCAGGCCCCTGAACGTGACCAATACAGACAACAGACTCTTGGCCAACGCAGTGCGCATGGTAGTGGAGGACGCGGTGGCCGCGAGGATTTCCTCCTCCCAGCGGGGGTTCCTCCCCGGGAGGTCCATGCTCTCTAACCTCGTGGACGTGGAGGAGGGCAGCCGAGCATTACGTGGGCGCCCACGGGTCGATGGCTGCATTCTTCGATTTTGAGGCCGCGTTCCCATCCATCGAGCACGAATTCCTTCTACGGCTTCTTCGCCACTTTGGTTGGCCCGATTGGCTTCTGCGATTTGCCACGGCCCTTTATCAGGACAATTATTGCGACATCGCACTGCAGGGCTCGAGGTGCCAGGGCTTCGGGCTTACGCGAGGTGTCCGCCAGGGGTGCCCTTTATCGCCGCTCCTTTTCGCCGTCGCGTCCGACTTGCTCCTCTGCCGCCTTCGCCGGCTCGCCCCAGGGGCGCTGGAGAGGGCGTGCGCGGACGACTTGGTCATCATCGTCGCCCGCGCCTTCGAGAAGTTGCCGACGTTGCACGGCATCTTCGCGGAGTATGCTCGGATTTCTGGATTGAAGCTCAATTTCCAGAAGACTGTGATCGTGCCCCTTTTCGGCTACGACGGGATGGACCTCCGGGCAGAAATCTCCAGGCGAGCGCCGGCATGGGGCGCAATGGCCATCCGGGACAAGGCTAAATACCTCGGCTTCGTCTTGGGCCCGGGTGCTAAGGAGGACTCGTGGAAGGCCCCCTTGGACAAGATGCTGGATCGCGCGGCCACCTGGGGCAAGATCGGCCCAGGTCTTTATCACACTTGCGCGGCCTACCGCGTGTTCGTGGCCTCGGTGGTCATGTTTGTGGCGCAACTTCGGCCGCTACCTGCCCGCTTCGATGAGGTGGAGCGGAAGGTCTGCGCCAAGCTCTTTCCGGGCCCTCGTGCATGGACGATCCCAGATCTCATGCCGCAGCTCCGCCGCATGGGATTTCCGTGCGAGTTGATGGATATACGCTGTGCGACGATTGCGGCGCAAGCTCGTGTATGCCACCTCGAGGCGTTGCCGCAGGGCGGGCTGCAGGTGCACGCGAGAGCCCGCCGACTCCGCCAGCTTCTCCAGAGCGATGGGCGTCAATTCTACTCTGAGGCTGTCGAGGCGTGGCTGGCGAGCAACACATTATTTGTCATGGAAGCTTCGGCAGACCGCATCGACGGGGAGGAGTTTCGACGTGGCCTACGGCTCACGCACGAGCTCCCGACTGAGGACGGGCTCTCCCTCAAGGCAGGGTGGCAAGCCAGCCGATGCCAATTTTTGCCGGCAGCGCGTCCGCCGACCAAGGTAGAGGCATTTCTTCGGAGGCGGCTTGACCATTGGAGCATTGGCCTTGCGCCGGGCCGCCGGGTGCCGCGCTTCTCCGCGTACATTGCCCTTCTCGGTCAGAGTGCCCCGCCATGCGTCATGGCAGCGGCCTTGCGCACAGCTTGCAATGGCTGGCTCACAACGGCGCGTTTTCAGCAACGGTCTCATTGTGCGTTCGGCTGCGGGGGCGGCTTCGATTGCATTCGGCATTACGCACACTGTGGCCTGTACCATCGCTGGTGCGAGGAGGCGCGTGCCCTCGAGCCACCGCCTGCGCAGGCGCGCCTGGCAAGTTTCCTCGGTTTGCACGCGCCGATGGGGCTGGAGGCCACGCCCGTGCCGCGTACAAGCGACCAGATGCGCTTGTTGAGAGCTGTTTGTATCTATGCCCTTTACCGGGCACACCTCGCCGTGCGGCACAAAGCCGTATTTCAGTTCGACGCAGGGCATCTTTTCAAGGCCGCCGTGCGCGAGGCTTGCGCCCGAGAGCCTCTCAACGGGCTGCTCGCCAGGTCTCGGCGCAGGCGGCCAGGCGCCTAGGCGCATCGTGCCTCTCCGGCTTCTTCCTCCTCCCACTCCCCTCTGCATGTTGCTCGTTGCTTGGCCGCTGACATAACTATCGTTACCTCTTGGTCTCGCGTCGTGGCTATGTCCACTTCGCTTGGGAGCGTGGCCCTTCAGGCTCCCAGTTCAATATCTGTGGGTCTCCCTTCTCTTCCTCCTCCTCCTCCTCCTCGGTGTCGGTTCCGTGTTGCCTTTTTCTCCACGCTTGCACTGCCCTGGTCATGTGGGAGCCCAGACTGACAGGCAGTCGGGCGATGACCTCCGATGCAAAGAAATCTGCACTTCTGCCGGTTATCCCGGTCCCCGGACGCGCGCGACGGCTCGCCTATGGCAGGTTGGCTTGTGCGCTGCTCCTGGCCTTTGACAGGTTTCTCTCGCCTCTTCTCCTCCTCCTCCTTCCCTTCCTTCTCCTCTTCCTCCTCCTCCTCGCCTCCTCCCCTTTTTGAGCGGCAGATTCGGGGGATGCCAGCCCGTCGATTTTGGTTTCCCTGCGGGCCGTTTGTTGTCCCAGCCGCGTGGCCGATAGCGTCGCAGCCAGGGCTGGCGTGGAGCGGCAGTGGGCCCAAAATTGCACCGCGTCCGCCGGGAAAAAAAATGGCTAGTAAACAAGAAGTTCGGCGTGACCGTGACTTGGCTTAGACAGTGGAGTGCGAGGTTATTCCCCCAACGATCATCATTTCACGGAGAAGCTGCGTTGCTGGAGCTTCTCCACGAAGGGTCCGCCCCGGTGGAAGCCCGGAAGTTGCTGTCTCAGGCGTGGGCTCGGTGGGTGCTTTGGGAGCGAGCAGGGCAATGTACCCCGTGCCGTCGAGGAGGGATTGTATCATCGATTCTCCAGGAGCCGCTGGGGAGGCGCATTTCCGAATCTTGGACGTGGCACGGCCCCCTAATGGCAGGGAAGCGCAAGAGTCAGTTCGGATCTTCAGGTGACCGGCCAGACATATTGGCAATTGATGGGAATGCTAAGCTATACCGTCGCACTTGTGGCATGCCGTTTGCGAGTGCGGTTTGGTGCGGGGAGCTGAACAAATACCTTTTGCGGGGTTGCCCGAATTCCCCCGGCAAGAAAGATCCGCTGTGCTGCAAGCACGCGCGGGACCGGGACAACGCCCAGTTCGCCCCCCAGGAAAGCCACATGCAGATCGTGGCCCACCGAACAAAAAAGGCTTTGCACGACGGTAAGGACGCAAAGCACTTGGAGGTCAAAGTCGGCTATTGTGACATGTGGCAGCCCGCGCGCACTGTAGACGAGGCCCGCTTGTCGCATTTTTTCGCCAACCTAGCGCACAATAAAGCGGCCGCCTTAGTTTGCCATGCTTGCGTTCGGGCGGGCGGGGCGGCACGGGGGCCCCCCCAGGCGCGATCGCCCCGCGATCTGGCCAGGCCTTTTGCAGATCGCCCCGGGGCTCGGCCCGGCTTCCGCGGGGGCCGCGCGCGCGGCGATCGGCGCTGCCCCTGCGCGCCACCAGGTGATGGAGCGGCGGAAGCGGCGCAAGGAGTTCCGCGCCGCCCGGTTTGTCGCCAAACTGAAGAGGAGGAGAGAGCGTTCATTCATGTCTTCGTGGAGTTCGTTGGGGCCGCGCCAGAAGTCGGAGTGCGGGACGCATAAGGAGACCCCGAACCACATCGTGGCCGCTGCCCGGACTGGCGGCTTCCTCCGGGCGGTTAGCGCTTCGGGGGTCATCGTCGACATCGACGAGTTAGTGGGGGTGGAATCCTTGTCCCAGCGATGCCGCTTCTTGGCCATACTAAAGAGCCGGCACCCAGATTTGAAGGCGGGATTCGGGCCAAACCCTCTCCTTGCACCGGCCCCCCCCCCTCGCGCCGCAACACCCTCCAAGCCTGGCCCCGTGGCCGCGGGGGGGCGTCCGATTGTTCTTGTCCCCGCCCCCGTTGCCTAGGTCATCGTCCACGACGACGCGTGCCATTTGCGTTTGATGGTGGAGGCGAACCGGGCCAGTTCTCCGATCGCCGAGGAGCTGGCGGCCGACGTCGCATGCATCGTCGACGAGTACCACGCGAGCGCGCACGCGGGGGCGCGGTAGAAGAAGCACTGCTTGCCATCTCTGCCAGAAACCAGGCGCTCCTCCGGAAGTTCCCCACGAACATCTGCGAGGTGAAGAACTCGGACCTATCCCCCCTAGCTCATACTATCCATCACATGGGCCGCTGGATGTGCATCCTTGCCGTGGCGGAGATGGTGGACGTGAGCAACCGCCGCGCCCTCGCTCTTGCGGAGGCGCGTCGCGGCGTTGAGCGGAGGAAGGTGGCTCGGGCAAAGAAGAATGCGCAGGAAAAGCTCTGCGCCGCAGAGCGCGCGGCGGCTTCTGGCAGCCGCTGACGGCCGCTTCCGGCCTCGCCTGCACTGGCGGCCAGACCGACGTGGGCCGCGGATTATGAGGGCTTGTCGCCCACAGCTGCCCCCCTCTCCCTCACTTACTTTTTCCGTTCCCTCCCTTTCCCCTCTGGCTAGTCTCGGAACGCGCCTTCCGGCTCGGCGCGGGGCTTCTTATGACGTGGAGACCGACATCGGAGCACTAGTTCGTTGCTTCAGACCCATCAGCGTAGGGCTCGTGACAATTCGCCGTGTCTCCGCTTTCTCCCGCCCCCCTCTCTTCGTCCATCCCCCCTCCCTTCCGTTCATTCTGGCAGTTGTCCCTGGGCGGCCAGCGACTCGCGCGATCGTGTCAGCGGTGGGCCTGCAAACATAGATTGCCGCCCGCTTCAGGTTGCATGCCCGCGGCCGCATTTCGGCCACGTGCGTAGGACAGTGTCTGGAGCATTGAGATTGTCCTGGCTCTCACGTAGTGATACCCCCTCCTATGCGCCCTCCTCTTCCTCCTCCTCTCTCCTTTTCGTGCTTTCTGACCATTCCCTTGGCGTGCATGGCGCGCACGCAGACGCGCGGCCTACGCGCGCAGCGCGTATGAAGCCCTCGTGACTGCATTGGCGCAGCGCGACCGCGGCCCCGGGAATGCCGGGCGCGCGAGTTTTAAAAGGGTGATGTTGCTTGGATTCGCTCACGCTGCAGGCACTTGCCGCGCGCGACGTACTAGTACGCCACAGTTTTTCACGTTTGGGCCTTGGGCCGACGGCGGGGAAATGCTTCTCCCGCGTCGTCCCTGGCGGAATATACGGGGCAGCGGTTCACGCGCGCATTGAGTTTGGAATAAAAATCGCAGGGGGAAAAAGGGGATGCCGGCCGTTCTATATCCAAGACGCCAGCGGTGAATCAACGCAGCCCCGTGCCATTTTGGGAAGCGCCCCCTCGTGGCCCCACGCTGGGCCCCAAAATCGCCCAACCTATCGGACTATGTATTCCTCCAGCTGTTCTGGAAGCTCTACAAGGGGGACCTTTGGGAGAGGATGACGGGGAATCTCAGGAGGAGGAAGAGGAGGAGGAGGAGGAGGAGGAGGAGGAGGAGGAGGAGGAGGAGGAGACGGAAGAGGACAAATAATACAAGGAGGTGGAGGAGGAGGCCTCTTTGGAGCCTCTTGGGCCACTAGTGGAGCTTCCTGGGAGATTATTGGGGGCCTCTTGGAGGTCTGTTGGGGGGGGGGTATCCTTGGGCCTTTTCGTTGCCGTGTGGGGCTTTTTGGGCGTCTCCTTCGCCGTATTACGGCGCTCCTGGCCTGCAGGGCGCCGTCGGAAGCCGTCTGGGGGGCCTTTCTGAACCGACTTCGGGCCCTGTTGTGGTGCTTTGCAGGGCCGTCTGGAACGCTATCGTAGGCGTCTTGGGGGTTTTTTGGCCCGTCTTGGGGCCTTTGAGAGCCGTCGTGGGGGCCTCTTGGGACATCACGGGGCCATATTGAAGGTGTTTTGGCGATCTGGGAGCGACCTTGGGGTTGGGCCGTCTCGGGCCGTCGGAAGGCCCAAATATTAAAAGAAAACGCTGATTTGGGCATATTCGGGCCCTTCATGGAGGTTCTCTTCCCCCCAGGCCGTCTTGCAGGCCTATTGGGGGCCTCTTAGGCCGTCTTGGAGGCTTCTTGGGCGGGCTTGGAGGCATCTTGGACTCTCTGGGGCCAACTTGGACGCAATCTTGGACCCTGTTGGGCCGTCTTGGAAACAATATTGGATCTTGTTTGGCGACCTTGGAGGCCCTCTGGGGGCCGTCTTGAAGGTTTCAAGGGCCGTCATGGGATCATCTTGGAGGGCTCGAAGACCATCTTGGGGCGATCTTGGGGGCCTTTTGGGCCGTCGAAATGCCGAAAAGAAACAAATGCCCAAATCCTTCAAAAGCTTATGGGAAATCAATGATGTTGGCCTCTTCGGGTCCTCCTGGGGGATCGCTTGGAGGCCTCTTTGGCCGTCTTGGAGGCCATCTCGAACCACTTTGGGCGAACTTGGATGCCAACTTGGGCCTGTCTTGGAGGCTTCTTGAGCCGTCGTGGGCTCATCTTGGAGGCGTTCGGTGCCATCTTGGGGAGATATTGGGGGTCTCTTGGGCCGTCTTCGGCTTTCGGAAGGCCGAACAGAAGCAAATGCCAAGCTCCTTCAGCAATTTCAGGAACATTAATGCTTTTGGCCTCTTCGGGCCCTCCTGGAAAACCTCTTGGAGGCCGTCTTGGAGGCCTCTTGGGGGCCTCTTGGGCCTTCTTGGGCGGACTTGGAGGCATCTTAGACCCCTCTTGGGCCATCTTGGAGGCCATCGCGGACCTTTTTGGCCGAACTTGGAGGCCATCTTGGCCTTCTTGGAGGCCATTTTGACCCGTCTTGAGGGACTTCCTTTCTGACGTTGAAGTTGTTTGCGTGGCCTTCCGGGTGGCCGGCGGCATCGGCCGAATGCTTCTTAGGGTCTCATCGGAGCGCTCTCGGGGGCTTCTGGGTAGCAGTTTTGGGGCCTCTTCGGGGCGCCTTGGGGGTGTTCTTTTGGGAGCATATTGGGGGTTTCTTGGTCTTTTGGGGGGCCGCTTGGCGGCCTCTCGGGGCCGAAGTCTGGAATGGTCCGTTCGGATCCCCCGTGTGGGCCCCCTTGTTGGAGCCGTCTTGGGTGCTTCTTGGGCAGTCTTGGAGGCTCCTCACGCCGTCTTGGCGCCCTTCGGCCCTGTGGAGCGTGAGGCCTCTTGGGGCGATCTTGGGGACCTCTTGGGCCGTCTTGGAGCGTCGGGAAGCCGAACAGGCGAGAACGCCACAAAATTTCAACAACTCATGGGAAATCATTGACTTTTGCCTTTTGGGGCCCTCGTGAGAGTGCTCTTGAAGAGGCCTGTTAGGGCGTCTTGGAGGCCTCTTGGACCGTCCTGAGGCCATCTTGGGCGTCTTTGACCGGTCGTTTGGCGACTCGGACCCCTCTTGGGCTGTCGCGGCCTCTTCGGGCCTTATTGGCCCGTCTTCAGGCTTTCTTGGCTTCGAAAAAAATACCCCAGTGCGACCCTACCTAGAAGTTGGAGCCCCTAGGAAAGCAGCATTAGTTGCTGTGCTATGCTTTGCTGTGCCATGATATGCTGCGCTATGCTATGCTATGCTATGCTATGCCATGCTGCGCTGTGCTATGCTATGCTATGGTAAGCTGTTGTATGTTTTGCTGCGCTGTGCTATGCTATGCTATGCTATGCTATGCTATGCTGCGCTATGATAGTGCTATACTATGATATGCTATGTCATGTTGCGCTATGCTATGCTATGCTGCGCTGTGCTGTGCTGTGCTGCGCTATGCTATGCTATGCGATGCTATGCTGCGCTGTGCTAGGCTGTGCTGTGCTGCGCCATGCTATGCTATGCTATGCTATGCTATGCTATGCTGCGCTATGCTATGCTGTGCTCTTCCATGCTAAAGCTAAGATACACCTGAGCTAAGATGAAGCCAAGCTAAGCTAAGATGAAATAAGCTAAGCTAAGATGAGATAAACAACGCTAAGCTAAGGGATTGTCACTGGGGGAACCGCGGGGCGGATCCTGGGGGAACCGCCCGGGGCGATTTCCACTGCCCGGCCCCTTTAAGCTAAGAGGGTAAGAACCCTTCCAGGCAGAGCCGAGGTAGGGAACATGCGACAACACTCGGGGAGCCCCAGGAGACACGCGAGAAGCCCCGGGATATTTGAGAGCTGCGGGTCCGGGCTCTGTGCTATTCATTCTTTCGCGACTCAGGAGAGAGTACGCACCGGAATTTGGGAACACTGAAATCCGCGCCTCGCGGCACGGTGGCGAATATGGAAGTTATGGTCTCCGTGTGCTTCCGATCTCTTAGCAAATCTCCTTGGTGGAGCGCCCCCCCCCTCACACCTCTCTCCTGTTTTCCCCTCTTTCCCTCCCCCACTTCGCCCCCCCCCCCTCCACCGATACCTCATCACTGTTCGCAAACGAAAGAACCCCCAATGTTGAGAGTTCCCCCCTTCTCCCACCCTCCCTGCCCCCCGACCTGCTCCCCCCCGCCCCTCACCGCCTCCTGCCCTTTGCCACCGGCACTTCATCTACGTGCCCTCGACGGATGCACGTCCTCCAATGCTGAGTTTATCCCTCCTCCCTTCAGCACTCTCCCTCCATCCCCTGTCTCCCCCTCCCCCCCCCCGCCCGAAGAGGAAGAAAAACAATGTCTCTAAAAGAGGCCACACAGAACGTGTTAGGCAACAATTTGTTATGCCACCTACGCCTAGATGGTCGGTGGAATTCGCAGCGATCACCATTGCAGGACGCCCTGTTCAAACCACACAGGGCAAGGCATCCACTCGCAGCGTTGCAAAATTGAAGCGGTCAAGCCCGATTGGTTCACATTTACACTGATACCCCGAACGGCTGGGATCTATTGGGCCGCCTGGTTCGCATTCGCAGTTGTCGGGGGGGGGGGGCTCATCTATGCTACCGCTTTTGTTCACACTCGAACTGTTAGCTTCGAGTGCGATGTCTGGCGTCGTGTGTCTCACATTTACACTGGTAGCCCTAGCGGTTTCCATGTGTCGTGCCGTCCTGTGAACATTCACACATGTACCGGGCCGGAGCGGTTGCGATCTATCGGGCCGTGCTCTCTCATAGCTTTGGCGCGGTGTCGGCGATGGTCGAAATCAGAAGTTTTCAGGAATACCTATCGCCCCATTGAGGCCGCCAGCCGTGTGAAGTCTTCGTTGACGGTGGTGGCATCGTCTCCCGGCCATTCTCTTGCCACGGCCAACCTCTCCAATGCATCCGCTTCTTCTTTGCATTCTGTCTGTCCCACCTACCCTTTCCGAAGCCCGTTTCAGAAGCCCTGGCTGCGCCGTCGTCTCGCCGCGCGCGGTCTCGCGCAAGTTCGGCTGCCTTCTGTCGGCAGCCATGCCGAAGACCCCGCCCCCCGAGCTCACCGCGGCCGAGATCCGCGCGCTCATGGACGCCGCGCAGCAGAAGGTCGACGAGAACTTCAACGCTGCCGAGCACTTGCCAGAAGCCGCGTATAAATTCGTCCACCCAATAGCGACCACCACGTGCCAGGGCTTTTATTCCACGACGATGATGTTGCTGGGCGCCGTCCCGGCCTTGACGAACGGCGCCCGCGTCAAGCTGTGGTCGCAGAAAGCGTGTCCTCTCACCGCGGTCGTCATCCAGGTGGCAGTGCCGCAGGAAGGCAAGAGTCGTCTGTATCCCGTCATCGAGGAGATGTTCGACACCTGCGACGACGTGGTGGCGGACCTGGCCCCGCGCATGTTCAACGAGGCTCGCGAAGGGAGGCAAGACGCGCACGCCAGCGTCGGCGGGGAACTCGCAGTGAATTCTGCCGCCCTCCAGAGTTTTACGTTCTCGGAGTTTTTCTTCAGGTGTTCTGCTGCGTGCAAGCAGGTCGAGTGCATGGTTGGGGATAAGAAGACTGACCCAGGCATCCCGGCCAGGGTCTGGTTCGGCAACGGCTTCAACCTGGACGAGGCGCACGAGTTCTTTGACGGTTTGGGCCTCCTCGGTAATGCGACCAAAGACAAGGACAAGACGCCCTCCTTGAACGCGTCGTTGCTGAATTCGCTGTTGCAGTCTGGCAAGACCAGGGGGGCGACGCGCACAAGCACCAATTTCGGCATGTCGAGGGACAAGACCGTGTCCATCTTCATTCTCGGCAACGCCATTCCTATGGACCGCGGTTGTTTGGGCTCCCACACGGCGGCCACCAAAGAGCGATTCGTGTTCTGCCTCGACCGCGCGGTGCCTCGACACGCGCCTTTGCCCGAGGACTGCGAGCTCGAAGCCGGCGATGATGGGTGGACGTGGCTGCCTCTCACGGCCCAGCAAGCCGCGGTCTACGGGTGGGATCACTTTAAGGACGACCCCGCAGCGGCGATTCGCGCTGGGCTCCAGGTCGACGATCGCTCTCAGCCTGCTCCGTGCGAGGGCGGCCTCGTCATCCAGGGGCCTCCCGGCGGCTACGTCGTCTCGTTCCCTGACGGCCGCCAGAGTCGATTGCGGTACTTGTGCCGTCCAGACGGCGGGCTCGTCGCCACCGAGTACCGCATCTCCTCGCGTTGGAATCTGCCTGGCCCCACGGACCGCATCAGGGCGGCGGCTCGGCGCATTGCTGAACTATTCAAGGATAAGCCGCGCGCCGTGCTCGAGTTCGAGAGCCGCGCCAAGAAGATCCTCCTGGGCAACCAGGTGGCGCAGAGCGATCGGGCTGACATGTGCGAGGATGACGTCCCCACTGCCGCCCTCCATTCAAAAGCCGCGGAGCACGTGGGCATTTTCGCAGGGCCCCTGGCTGTCCTGGAGTACGGCGGGGGCGCCCCTCTGTCCGAGGGCCACGACGTCGTGCTGTGATCGCGGAGGACCACGTGGACACGGCGTGGCGCTTGGTGAACACAAGCCTCCTCATTCGGGAGGCCTGGCGCGCGGTGCCCCCCGTTGAGGATGATGACTTGGCCGCGCCCGGTTTCGGCCTCGCGGATGGTATCCGCGGCGACTACCAGCCGGGCCTGTACGCGCCTGCGCTGCCGACGCAGCTCCCGCCATTCCCCGCGCCCGAGCTCGCGGGCGGCGCCGGCGCCGGCCCCGCCGACCCCCTCTCCCCGGCAGACGACGAAGAGGATGGGGCAGAATTGGCTTCGCGCGGCGACGACGCCGGGGGGCCCCCCCGCGGCGCGCCGCCGGGGCGCGCTGGAAGCGAGGGCTCGCAGCCTGCGGAGAGCCCGCGCTCGCCGAGGCCGGAGGGGGAGGAGGAGGAGGCCGCCCTCGCCGACCTCGCGAGAGCCCGCGCCGAGGGCGAGGGGCAGCCGCCTCAGCAGCAGCACCAGGCGCCCCCTCTGGCGGCCGCTGCCTCCCCGCCGGCGGCCGCTGCCAGCGCCCCCGCGCCGGGCGCCGGAGAGGAGGCGGCGCCTTCGCCGCTCGCGGCCCCGCTCTGCTGGGGGGACGTGGAAACGGACGCGAACTTCGACAAAGTGGGGCTGGGCCCCAACGGTAACATGATATTTTCCGTTGACCCAGGCGCGACGACTCCCTTCTTGGACAGGGCCTTCGTCCGCCAGTGCTTGCTTTCTGGCGCCGCTCGGGCCAAGTTGGGAAGCCTGGTGGACAACTATTCCGTGGCCAGTTGCGACCCGGGCGAGGGCGCGGAGAACGCCGCCCGCAAGCGCAAGAAGCGCGCGCGCCCTTCGCGAGATGAGGCCCGCGACGTGCTCCAGGCCGCATTTGCGCAGTTCCCTCGCCTAGGCGGCTTCCTGGACGACGCCATGAACGAGGTGGAGTTCCGGGCGTGGCCGGAGTCCCAGCAGGGAAAAGTTTTGTTCCACAACGAACTGATGCGGTGCTGCCGCGTGGCCTTGCGGGACCTGGCCGCCCGCAGGGCAAAGTGGAGCGGCCGCTCTGCGCGCCAAGCACCCGGCCAGGCTGCGCGCGAGGCCCAGCAGACGCCAGCGGAGCAGCCAGCGCAGCAGACCGCGCAGCAACCCCCTCTCCGCAGTCAGCCCGCGCAGCAGCCCTCTCGCCGCAGC